ATATTCTCTTTATTAAAAGCATATATATACTTCTGTAAGAAGGAACTAAGGCTTATATAATAAAGAAAAAATTAATTAAAATAATTAAATTAAGATTATAAATAACTAGAAACATGCGAGCAAGCAGGATAAGATAATAAAGTAAAAAATACTTTTATTAGCTGAGCCAGATTAATATAAATTATAAGATTTATTTAATATTTTAATATTATTTATTTCTTAATTATTTATTTAAACTTTAGTCTCTTACCATATCTGCTGCTGATTAGAAAGATAATAATTTGTATATATAATAACCTAGAATCCCAGAGATTCTTATTTGATTTTGAATTCAAGTTATTAATCAAGATAAAATACTGGATATAAATCAGTATTCTTTATAAAGACCAGTTTTATATAGTTTTTATATTTATATACTAGAATATTTAAGTAGACAGCCAGAAGTAGCCAGGCTATCTTACTATAGTATTAGTTTATAAAGTTTAAGTTAGTTCTTATCTAATCAGCCATATCTTATAACAGCCACTTTTTACTACTGGAATATTTTTAGTAATCTTTATATTAGACAAAACTCGGTGTTCGGCAGTATAAATAATATATTATTATTAATAGAACTTTGATATTACTAATCAGGCTTATTTAAATAAATATTAATTAGTTAATTATCTATATTAATTAGATATATTAATAAAATTACAAAGTATTATTTACTGGGAATTCTTTAATATATATCCACGCGGCCTGAGATTTAACCTAATTTAAGAACTTTATTTATTAATTGGCTATATAAAGGGGGGCTAATTATAATAGTAGTAATAAATCTTAATAATATAATTTCTTTATTCTAGTTTATTTTATTTGTCTATAATATTTTTATCTAATTCTTAATAATTAATGGATCTCACCACATCTTAACAGTTTTGATAACCTTAATATTATTATATTATAACAGTTTCTAATAATAATTTATTTCTTAGACTGTCTTCAGCAGACCCAGATAATGAATATAATATAAATTAATTATAAATTTTCTGATACAGAATTCTACAGGCATGTAGGAAATTAAGAAATAAAATAAAAATTCTTTTATAATATAATATTATCTAGAATTATATTTTTATATAGAAAGTTATCTCCATACAAACCAACCTTAAACTTTAATAAAAAATAAAATATAATTTTTAGAGACAATACTACTAGATTATTAATTAATTAATATTAAAAGGTATGGTGCACTGTTCAGGCCTATATATTAAAACTAGCAGAACTGTACTAATCTATTTATAGAAATAATATCTGATTAGAAATAAATACCCCAGGGATAATACAGACTAAAGTTAAGCGGGGTTGCCTTGTACCCTCTTTAGAAATCATGATTTATCTTATGGGGACTGTACTCTACCTGCTAAGGTAGGTGGCAGGTTGTGGCATGAAGGGAGTCAGGTGGTGTGGCAGTAGTGCCTCTCATAATTCATTGCTGGAGCTTTACTGCAGTTGTCCAACTTTTCGTTACTCCCCAGCTTCTATACTGTCCAGCATTCGATCAGTACTAAAACTGGTATGGTCCTCGCGACCCTCACTTCAGTCAATTGTACCATTTAAGCCCCGGGTTGCGATAAAAACTCTACTATAGCCATTAGTATATACAGCATGATCACCACACGTACAACCTTCGTTTGCCTGGGGAAAATATTGCATGAACCAACCATGGCATCTTATTCACGGGCTGTACTAGCGCGGTCATAATATCAAGGATGTTGTGATTGGGGATGGGATTTAATTCTGTTTCCGCCTCGAAATGCAGGCGCAGGATAACGTAGTCTCTATACGTCGCGGTAGCCTAAATGCCGGCTGAACCAAAGCTAGTAACAAAGTGATATTATCTACTGATCCTACTATAAACAGGGTGGAGGTAACCTCTGCATAGACCAGAGCTCTTGATTCATACGGGTTCTATCTGGAGCGGCGAAGTGAGGCACTGTCTTCCTTGCTCGCGTGCTAGGGGAACTGAAGGCTATGAGACTATGAACTGGACAAGTAACCTAATATACTACCTTTCTGTGTCTCCTCGTCAGAATCCATTGGTTAGTAGTAGTCAATACATCAATATATATTCCACTACCGACTGACACAATACTATCCTCAGCGGTACTCGATTGCTTAACTAGACAAGAGCATAAACAGAGTAAATACGCTCAAGTGCATCACCAGTTTAGTTGCTCAACCGCAGACTGGTGCCCCTCTTGGTCGCCATAACACGCATCACAGACAGCGTCTAGTTGGACAAATTATCGTTGAGTTGGCTTGCTATTATCTTTTGGCCTGCCACCAATATCTATAGATCTGTTAACGTGGTGGTCAGTCCCCCACATCTGCTTAACTTACTGCTTGTGAGACAGCCCAATCTGTGTTCTTATGCATGCCCACGCCCCATGAAGCGATGTTTCCAGCTGTACTCAGTCTGATAAAAGACGTCATCGTATCCTGGCTGGCTATATATTGCAGTTGGTTGTCCAGTACCTCGTAGTCGTAACCGACTGACCTAAAGGCATCAAGTATGGTAGGCAATAGTTCACCTCCAGTTGCTTCAAGTTCATGGTCTGAGCCCTGTACTGAAATTTTAAGTTGGATGTATGTAGCATCCCGATTTCCTGTGGCCTGATTGGCTCTGCAATTCAGCAGCCGGAATCGTTCAGATTCAACATGCATATAGTGTTTCCGGAACAAGCGACATATAGTCTCCCGGGTAACCTCAAAGCCACTGAGATTCGCATGTGCTTTCACGACCTGCGTAAATTCAATTTCCAAATCTCGCGGCATATCAATATCAAGACTCTCTTTGAGAAGCCAGGCAACGCCGCCTTTGCCACTTTGAGAGTTCACCCTCACAATAGCTTCGTGTTGCCTGCCCAGATCAACTGGATCCATGGGGAGATATGGCATTTTCCACTTGGACGCCCGTGTAGCTCCAAGTCTCTCACTTTCTTTGAGTTTGTTATATCCCTTTCGTATGGCATCCTGGTGTGTACCGGTAAATGTGCAAAATACATATTTCCCTGCATAGGGTGCTCTAGGATGGACGGCGATCTTTGTGCACTCCTCCACCATAGCGACAACCTCGTTCAAATTGCTCAGGTTAACTCTGGGTGAAACACCGTGAGTATATAAATTGAGAGCCAACGTGACGAGATCGACATTTCCAGTGCGTTCGCCATTCCCGAATAGACATCCTTCAACTCGGTCTGCACCAGCCAACTGAGCCATCTCGGCTGCTGCCACGCCGCATCCTCGGTCATTGTGGGGATGAACTGATACGCAGACCTTTTCTCGCTCGGAGATACCGCGGCAGAAGAGCTCGATCTGGTCGGCGAACACGTTTGGCATTGTTGCTTCGACAGTCGATGGAAGATTGAAGATGATTTTGTTCTCAGTTGTGGGTCCCCAGGCTAATTTCACAGCTTCGCAAATTTCAATTGCGTATTCCACGGATGTATCTTGAAAGTTCTCCAGTGTAAACTCAATCGTCCATTCAGTTTTGTGCATCTCAGCATCCGAGGACTCTTTCGTGAGTTCACGAATCTTCATTACACACCGAACAGCGAGGTCTATTATGTCCCCCTTTGTCATTTTGAAGACGACTTCGCGGAAAAGATCAGACGTAGAGAGGTGGATGTGCAAAATGACTTTCCTTGCACCCCGAACAGCCTCAATCGTCCTTTGTATAAGTTCCTCGCGACAAGGCGCCATGACTTGGATCCACGTGTCATCAGGCACAGTACCAGGGGTACTTATGAGGTGTCGGGTGAAATCGAACTCGGTTTGTGAGGCAGAGGGATAAGAGACCTCGATCTCTTTATATCCCAGCTTGACTAGGGTTTGGAAATAGCGTAGTTTGTCATCACCATTCATTGGCTTTTTTAGTTAGCAGATTGAGATAGCAGTATATGTGGAGTAGGTTACCTGGACTAATGCCTGGTTGCCATCTCTGAGGTCGGTTGAAAGCCATCGGGGAGCTTGAGTCAAAGTCTGAGTAGGCCAGTTCCTATTGTATACATACGGCTGAGGAGAAGCATAATATTTGTCCGACGGTGTAGGTAGCCTGGGAATTACAATCTGTATTAGCTAGTAGGCTCTGCAGTAGGGGGAGAACTTGGACTAGATATACATGTTGTCCTCTTCGGTAGGGTTGAATATCGCGTGTGTAGAGCAAATAGCACTATTTGTCTGCTGGACAAGGTGTCGGGATGAATAGCCACTCGCCTTTCATATGAAGAAACAAGTAGGCTGGGTTGTTGGAGGGCGGAAAGGTAATGGTGGCACGAATCATGTTATTTATATATGAAGCATGGCCAAGAAACCCGTCAGTATGACTATGAGCATTCTCCGGTTGGTTCACATGAACCTAAGAAGGTACGATTCAGTGAATCATAAACAGGGAACGCCACGGTGCTGTACTGCTGTAGCATAATACATTAAACCGTCCATAGCTCTCCCTTCCAATGAACGACAACTTTACCCATTCCGACAACAGGTGGTGGTCAGATAGATCCTTCATGCTGTGTAACATACTTTGGTCACCCGTGAAGACCTCGTGCATTATCACGCTCGAGATCATGTCGCTTATCTTGCCCAGATCCGACAACAAAAGCAAAAATATCCTAGGATGGTAACTCGATTCAGGTTCAAATCCCGGTTTGTGATGAGAATTGCCGTGCAAGCCGGTGGCAAAGCTCCATATTTGCAGTAATTGGTTACCTTTCATCCAAATTGAAATATCTGAACGACAAATAATTCCTGTCGTGTCACCATATATACATATCCTAACCTATTTTGGAAATACCATGTCTATCAACAATCTCAGCTGAGTCGGCAACTCCGAGTCAACGAGGATACGATTGAAGGGGGTGCACGATTCTCCTGTGTGATAAAGGCATGGGGTTCCTTTGTAAGGTGATAGGGACTAACATTATCCACACACCATGTCAGCCAACCACAGCGATATGTCGACTGCTGATGCAGTGAGTTCTGAGAGGCCTGCGCCCCCGCATACCATCTTTGATAGATCCCAGAAGCGTTTGTTAGCCGCACTTGTGTCCACCGCTGCTACATGTAAGTCACTATCCATGTATATGACAATACTGCAGACACCTCTAATAAAATCAGTCTCAACGCTGGCATCAAATATTTATTTCCCTGCGGTGCCCTCCATTGCCCAGGGTTTGAATGTCTCTGTTGAGCTCGTCAACCTTTCGATTACCGCCTATCTTATCTTCCAAGGCATAGCGCCTAGTCTCTGGGGACCGATTTCAGACGTTAAAGGTCGCCGAACAGCATACATCGGTACCCTCTTCGTAGCAGTCTGTGCATGTATCGGCCTCGCAGAGACCAGGAACTATGCCATGCTTGTCGTTTTCCGATGCTTGCAAAGTACTGGATCTGCTAGTACGGTTGCTATTGGATCAGGCGTGATTGGGGACTTTACTACCCGAGAAGATCGTGGGGGGTTCATGGGATTCTTTCAAGGAATGATGTTAATTTCCATTGCCATTGGGCCTGTTATAGGGGGGGCACTTGCAGGGTCGCTTGGATGGAGAACTATATTCTGGTTTCTCTCTGTTTACAGCGGAGTATTGCTTACCATGATCGCTCTCTTTCTTCCTGAGACGTTGAGGTCTATTGTGGGAAATGGTGCTCAGCTTCCCTCGTCAAGGATCGGAAGTTATCCCCTTACACTCTACCAGCGCTTCACCAAAACAAATTGGAGCGAAACTGCAGCATATAACCAGCTGGCCCCCAAGAAACGAACTGACCTTCTAGGACCCATCCGCATCTTGATCAGCAAACAAGCAGCTCCGCTGGTACTTTTCTTTGCTGTATACTTCGCCGTCTGGCAAATGACGATCACGGCTATGGCAACCCTCTTCAAGGAACATTATGGTTTGACAGAAATTCAATCCGGATTAACCTTCATCGCCAATGGTGCAGGATCTATGATTGGAACCCTCATCACAGGTAGGATCCTCGACAAGGATTATCGCCGTATCAAAGAACGACATCTCGCAGAAACAACACCCTCAGGAGAAGAGAAGGTTTTTCCACTTGAACGAGCCCGTCTTCGTCTGGTTCCTATCTTTGCTGGTCTACAATGTCTCTCAGTCATGCTATTCGGCTGGACTGTTCAATATTCGTCCCATGTCCACATCTCCATTCCCATTATCTCATCGTTTATAACTGGATGGACAGCTGTATCCAACCAATCGATAGTGACAACCTATCTAGTGGATGTATTCTATGATAGTAGTGCTGCTGCAAGCGCAAGTTTGAATATGGCACGTTGTTGCCTGGCTGCTGGGGGCTCGAGTTTTGTCATACCCATGGTGAATGGTGTCGGATGCGGAGTGGCTTTCACAATATGTGTTGCAGCGCAGATTTGTGCGACTGCTGGCCTAGTGATACAATGGAGGTATGGTGGTTCCTGGAGGAATGAGATGGAGAAGATGTTGAGTCGGTGAGCCGGTGGGTAGCATGGCTACATAGTCAAAAATTGCTTTGCAGCATCCTGTTCTACACAGAAATCGGTCATGGAATAACGTTGCGTACTGCACAAGGACCTTACGCCTTCTTCGATAAGCCTAGGTAGAGGTCCGTGGGTGAATTATACTGATGGCCGTTTCCAATGCTATTCGGTACTTTTTTCACCGTCTCCAGAGCTGTTCGAGCTATAGGTGCGAGTAGCTTAAGTAGAAGCTGCCGAAAACTATCTTACCTGTGTCTGGGACAGCGACTTATCATGTAGAAGGTCCGATACACGCAAGGAAAACGCCATATGTTGTAATGTCTCATGATAATAGTATTATAACGGTCGTGTAATCTTCTCTCTTCATGGAAGAGTTATCTTATCTCTATATATTATCCATGTAACACACAAGGCTAAGCTTACATACATATATACGTTTCACTTGCTTTTGTATGTATACATCTAGTTCTCTCCTTTCCATAATAATAAAGATATACTCTATATTTAGGATTTGCATTAGGTTTCTAATGGTAATTCAAGGTGTCATGTGACATAGAGAGAGGCACTATATGAGCTTAAGATTACCGGATTGCACATTGTCGCCAAGCATCCGGTCACAGATGGAGTAGAATGCATGGTGTATCGTTCAATTGTATCAGATAGTCTGTTTTTGATATCGCATTTTACGTGCCTTGTCATATTTCAAACCGTAACGCCAGGTCAACAAGTGGAATAAGCGTCTGGGCGAAAGGGCTCACGACAAGGGACGGGCATTGATTTCTGTGTATCGATCTATGAATAAACCTGATTTCCGCGATCTCTAACTACACTTCCATGGGTTGTCATAACTTCAACATCTTCTAGTCACCTAGCATCGATCCGACCGACTGTCTAAGTAATGAGGCATGTTGCGATTCGTAGGCCAACATCCCATTTTGCTTCAATGTGGTGACAAATTCCTTCCAGTAATCTACAATGTTCCTGTTCACCTTAGCGTGGAAATTTTTGTACTCGTGCTCGCGGTCGGCATTCTCCCACCGCAGTAAGTAGACGAGACACCGAGCATGTTGCCCTTGGAAGAGCACCGGTCGATCAAGCCATCCATGTTGCCAGTCCGTTAGCCCTGCCAAGGGGTACACATCAGAGCCAATGAGAATTCCAAGGTTGTATGGATTGGTGCGGTTCAGCTCCTGAATCTGTGAGCGCGCCAGATCCTCAGGAAAATACACGGCCATGAGCTCGTAGTACTCTATTGCACCAACATACTGGTTCCGGAACGCGCCGTCATGGAATGCAGCCCCAAGTGTCTGGGACAGATCAATCATAGATACTTGGACGGATCGCTCGCAAGCCCAACCGGCAAGGGTCTCGGTAAGGCACTGGTACTCGTCTGAGTTGATAAATGTGTTGCGCATATCCGCAGAGCTCCACGCTGGGAACGACGTCAGATCTTTATTTTCGTGGATATCCCAATTTGCTTGACAGAAATGTGACTTGGGAGACTAACACAGCATGAGCCATTCGGTGTGTGGTGCTTCCACGGGGTACGTCCGTCTAAATCTTAGATGACGAAGGTAATCAGATTGCTTGAAAATATTTTGGAAGAGTCTAGTAATGGAGTCGGCTGCATCGTGATGTGTCGCGCCTGTGCCTGGGTTCAATACGATCCAATCGACCAACTTGGCGTGTTTGCCGGTTCCATGCGGCTGCCTCAGCGCGAAAGTTGACGCGTCGCGGGAAGCTTCTGGAAAGAAGTTTGGGAATTCGTGTTTTGCTTGCGCTCTGGTGACAGGTGGCATTGTTTGTGTGAAGATATGAAATTGTGAGAGAAATCAGGGTGGACTGCAGGTGGGCAACAGGTGGACCATGCCGGACGCATCTAAGGAAGGGGAGTCGGTCGCTCTGGTTGTGAGACAAATTATCCTGAATCCCGCCAAGCCTTTGGGTCCCCCCCCCCCCCGCGGAAAAAAATGGGGATATTTACTAAACCTAGAAACATAACTATTTGAAAATACATATTGGTCTGTTGATTTGAGAAAGGATAAGAAAATCAGTAAGTTCGAACTTCGGCTGATCGGACCTCAGATCCTAATATTTTCATTGAAAACGGTTTGATTAATATGTAATGACTACAATTAGGTGTATACCAAAACGAACATATCCTTGATACTCTTTCTCACCTCTGTCTTGCCGAAGTATATATCTACATGGAGCGTACTGCAGCCAGCGATGATGAATCAAAGTACATTGATAGTAATCTTACAACAGAGCACAATCGCATTCACAATAGAAATCCAGTACTAGTGAGCCTTATGCGGATTTTGTAAACATTACGCTTTCTACTTGTATTCTTTCTGTCACCTGAACCCCGGCACTACTCACCGGGTCTCTAGCGGCATACACTCAGTGGCTGCTCATATTCCTTCTTCAAAAAAAAAAAGGTTTACTGCCTACTGTGCGGTCCCCACAACACTCGGCAGTAATTTGTAGTGAACATGGTGTCGAGGAAGCTCTGACGCGTTCGCCTTGCAGGTTGCTAACAAACCAAGCTGACCCGTTTTACCCAGCATGTGCTTTGGTATTCCCAATTGCAGTACAGCATCATCGCCTGAGATAAGTGATAGTTCGAAGTGTCTCATCTGGCATTTGGTGCTAATACGCTTTGAGGTAGGAGTCTATATTGTGAGGATTATACCAGTTTCTTTCCGTCGTATGTTTCCGGGATCCAGGCCTTATTGGCGACATCCCACTTGCTATGCTCTGCATAAACAAAACAGTGGCTAGTTCATGAATGAATGTAAGTAAAGGTATGGATAATGAGTCTTCGCCCAGTCTTCAATCCATACCCATAACTGTCCGGAGCTTTCCATTGTCCAGGTGCCGGTGTGAGGTTGACGACCTCTGCTAGCTGAATGCCGGCGTGGTGTCGACAGAAGCCTGCACGCCAACAAACGAGTTGCGAGTGCAGACAAGGGACTGTAATCGCTGGGGTAATCAACCGACACATTAAGACATCTTGAATTCCAGGTCAACGGTATTACAATCGACAGGCCATGTACTTGCCATCGGGATTGGCTTACGCACCGCCCATACTAAATGGGGCACAAGGAAAACCCGGATCATCCCCTTATCGTGGCTTCTGGCCTCTTCCCACTACGGATTAGCGGGACCCTGATCTTCCGCCCTTAACCTCAGCCTCGTGGGGCGTGAGAGGACTGTTGCTCTCATCAGCTGCCACGTCCCCGTCAACGCATCCCACGAGCCCACCACCACCCGGACGCAACCGCCTTGAGAATATCTAAAAAAAGTAAAATATCCTTAGCAAAACATCATTACTGCATCAGCCAAAATCTGGGGAGCTTCCCACGCGGAGCTAATGACCCGGCCCGACACAGTCCGTTCCATTCTTTGTGAAGAGCCATGGATTTGGAATGACGGGTCAAGTGAGATTACATTTCACGAAGATGGAACAGGAAAGGTGTGTTCAGCAATTAAATAGCCTCCTTTCCGCACAAATTGACCCTTGCCATGCAGCTGTTTTGCTCTACCGAGTACACTTGTTGGATTTTTGCCGAATTTGACTGGAAACCGCATAATTCTGCGCATCTCGATCGTACCATTGAGCATTCCAAGATAATCGGCCACTTTACCATCGAGATGACCCTCACAAAGCGACGACCACACGATATCTGGTACAAAGGGAAAGTCAATGAACATTGGCTAAACCAAGGGGCATTTTGCGCAAAAACGTATCATATAACAATTGAGTACGGTCGTTTTAGGAACCAATTCGACGTCAAGCATAAGGTTTTGGATGGCTCACTATATGCGCTGCGCATAGTTCTTGATCCCTCGCCATTTCCGCCGGACGAGGAGTGGAATGACGAAAGTTACGGACCGCATGCGATGAGACTCTGGGAGTGTACAGAATTTAACGCTAGAAAATATCTCAACGAAAGACTGAACCTATGGGAAAGGCTGATGACTTGGTGCAATAATTGGATGAGGTGATTTATAATAGGAGAACACGCGAGGCCATTTACTTGTACAGTAGATTGATTCCTAGAAGTACTCCTATATGAAATCCGACTTCCCTGGCTCACGGTACTCGGAATATAATAATATAGTTGTGCCATACTACAAGTGATCATCTCATGGTCTTGTGTCGAACAAACGGCGATTTCGGTTGAACATGTCGACAAAACTAACGCAAAGGGGCAGAAGTCGGTCAACCACGGAGACAGCTCTAGTCGCACTGATTGATGCTGGCTTATTGTGTTATTGTCACTCTACCGCCCAATTACGGGCCACACTATGGTGGCCAAGAATCTTGAATGCACGTGAGAGTTAGGCTGGACTTTGGCTGCTACTGGGCATACCTCACCTAACCTGGTATACTAGCGGAATCAGAATGGGTACGGCGGTGATTAGCAGCCATCGGGTAGTTGGGGCGCGTCTCCGGAAAGGCCCATCGATTTTTTGACAAGTCAAGAGATCGACGTCTCAGCAATTCGAAAACGGGCGCCGCCACATAAACTTTTATGAACAGGATCACAAATTGTGTATGGCAGGGACCGATTCAATAAAATTCTCTCTGCTCCTCAACAACCGCCAGCCGCCCGAATCCCAGATGTGTTATCCAAACATAAGATCCCTCCCCTATCAAACAGGCACCGCCTCGAATAACGCATTGGATCCAGTTCCCTGAAAACCCGACCGCCATACTTTGACTACCCTGAATTGAGCCTTCTCTAATAGTCCCAACCACTGCCTCTCTGTCCGTTCCAGTGATCCATAGAGCTCCATCATAATGATATCCATTGAGGATGAAAACCCGGGTGCATTCATCTCGGGCAGGACATTCTCATTGATCAGTAGCACTGAGTCGGTGGCCATGGCATCATGAACACGCCTAAGAACCTCCAGGGCCTGTTTATCAGGCCAATCGTGTAAGACAGTTCGCATATAGTATACTTTCGCCCCTTTAATGGGTTGTGGGTCAAACATGTTATGGCCCATGGCTTTCACACCTTCAATGAGCGGCTCTTGGATGTCCTCAATGACCTTTGGAAGATCCTGAACGATCAGCTGGTCTCTTATCTCGGGATGCTTGCGCTTGAAGCCGGAAAGGTCGTGGCCCTTGCCACCGCCGATGTCCACCAGGAGGACACGGTTTGGGCCACTGGTAGTGACCAGCTTCTCCTGCCATGGATAGTAGTCATACCATTGCACACCTTCCAATGAGCGATTGCCAATCTCCATCACTGTATTGAAGGCATGTAGCTCCTCTGGATTGTGCTGTATCCACTCGAAGTAATGTTCCTTTGTCCCAAAGGCAAGCTGGAAGGTCGTGTCGTAGGCATCTTGAGGGTTACGGTATCCCCTTGCCTCGAAATAGTCATAGGAGTGTACCGAAGCCTTCATGTCCGAATGGCTTGTTACATATGAGCCACGATTATTTTCCATTGAAAGACGGCAAAAAAAGACCTACAAATGTTTGATGACCTCACTGGGCGGACTACCAGAAGCGAACATGGTTGCTAGCGGCAGCGCCCGGTATTTCTCCACCCCCGTCTCTTCGAAGACGTGGTTCGCACACAGCACCCGCATGATACGCACTGCAGAAGCGAATGACCATTAATATAGATATCCTGACTATCAGGGATGTATCTTGGCAGATAATAGAATGAAATGAGAAAAATGAAACAGAAATGGTCGTGACCACAAAAAAAACCTGAGAGGACCCCTGAATCCACAATATTGTTCCAATAGGCAAGGAGGCTGGGGAATAAAGAAAGAAAGAGAAACCGGGAAAACTAGAAAAACAGGACAGAGACTGTCACAAAAAGTGAAGCCCGCAGACAGAGAAAGATACAAAGGGAAATAAGGAAAAAAAAAAGGGTCAATGCAAGGACTTACCTAAGAGGGCTTTGTCCCCCTTGGTATTCTCGTCCAGGGCATCAGCGCTCATTTCGCCGTTCTTCACCGAGGCAAACGCATCGAATATACCCATTCCGATGGCGACTCGAATAGCAACTAGGCCATGGTGCTTCAGAGTTGTGCCCAGCATTAGTTTGAGAGCATGTTTGTAAACAGGTAACGCCGATGACTTACGCCAAAGCAAAGATTGCGAACGGTGAGGAGAGGTGGTTCCACGGCAACGCGGAGCTTGTCGATGGCATCCAGAAGCTGGTACCGATCTGCTTCGGCGATGTCATCTCCGGGGGTAAGCTTGGCTAGGGTGCTGTTGACAGCAGCGGTCAGTGCATTCACAGTATCGGCCATTGCGAGAGAGATGATCCGAAGTTTTGGGATAGAGGTATACACTGAGAGACCGGGCGATACCAGGTTTGGGACAGGGAAATACTTTATACTTCTGTTGATCTTTTTGTGTTCCTAATTTTAGTCGAAGTGCAAGTAGAGATATAGGGACATTCATTGATGTGGAAATTGACCTATATAGTACGGGCCATCTACATTGGTCATCTCCAGTTTCCCCCGTCAGCACTAATGCATAGCAATGTGCTTAGACAAAGGAAAGCGAAGGCACTAGCAGATAGAAGTCCCAATTAGTTTAGCACGACTGACATCTGCGCCGATCGACAGAGTACGAGGAGTCTTCCGGTGACATTTCATACATATGAATGTGACAGTACTGAGAACATGCGGGACGCAAACGAATTCAGCCAACCAGCTAGTTTCTCTTTACCAATGTTTCTATTACCCGGTGGAATTTAGCCGTTTGAACCACCATGAGACTCTAGCCCAAGTCGGTCGCGTAGGTAAACGTCTCCACCAAGGACAGCCTTGCGGCGCGAACGAGGTTACCCCACTCGTCATTGGTTCGCTCCCTGGCCGCCAAGCACGCCATCATGGCGATATCTATCCATCTCAACCACCCGAGGCCCAGCGCCATGTCGACGAAAAGGGTCGTGGTCTGATTGCCCCCACCATCCAGGTCCGCGTCAATGTTCTGATTATTGGTGGGATCGTCTCTACCGCAGGTGAGACGGTCCAGCTGAAACACATCCATCAAGGTGGGTTGACCATGGCGCTGGGAGGTCATCCAAAGACTGAAGTCCTTGGAAATATGGGGGCTTATCCATCGTCCAGGCGAAAGCTGTCAACTTAGTTCCGTGCGCCTACTGGAATGCCGTTTGGCTGGCATCGGATGAATTGCGATACCCGCTAGACTAGCAACAGGAAGGATGGAAGGGTCTGCCAGGCGGAGAGCTGGATTCCGACCCTAGGTACGCGTTAGTAGGGAGCCGGTGGAGCATGGCACAGTTTGTATTGCCTTATGGTGATTGATTCCTACTTCAAAACCGCCTCGTAGTACTAGTCTAAACTCGCTTCATGAACCAGGCCAAACGTGGACAAATACCGGAGGATACGGCCTGAAACTCCGGGCATTTAGGTAACATTGGCGATTGACAACTAACAGGTATGGGGAGGAGGAGGGGCACCCTTACGCAGCAATAGGCTCTGCGCCCCGGTCGTCTCCGCGTGCTCTGCCAGGCAGATGTCAGTACTATTAGGATCCAACCTACGGTGGATCCGGCCCCGGGAGATCTCTGCCAATCAACGGCTCATCGAATGTCAAGAACTACTATGTATTTCCAGCTGCACTAGCCACTCGAGTGGCCGGAGTCACGAGTCCAGCTACTTATCATTTCAGTGTGTGGCGCAAGACTCCTTGGAATTTCCACTCTGATTATCGTCTCACACCCTTTCTTTTCAGCGCCTAACGACATCAATGGACACCATTATTCCGAAAGCTTTGAAGAAGGGAGACACTATCGCCTTCATCTCACCCTCCGCACGTCTCAATGAAATCCTACCTGCTCCCCTCGAGCGAGGAAAACTCTATCTGGAGTCGCTAGGCTTCTGTGTCCAGATTATTTTCTCTAACCAAACAACAGCCACTATCGCGGATTCTATTCGAGTTCGATGCGAGGAAATCCATGCCGCATTCCGTGATAGCACGATTGGCGCCATTATTTGCACGATCGGGGGCGCGCATGCGAATGAACTGCTACCTTTCCTCGACTACTCCCTTATTCGATCAAATCCTAAAATTTTCGTCGGCTACAGTGACACTACCTTCCTGCATTATGCGATTCAATCTCAGACCGGCTTGCGCACATTCTACGGACCCAGTGTTCTTACGGATTTCTCTGATTTTCCCAAGCCTATACAACTCACAGTCGACCACTTCATTCGTGTGCTGACTGAAGGGGAAAAGTCGGTGGGTCCACTACCTCGATCCTCTATCTGCTCGAAGGAGCATAGCGACTTCTTGCTTAGCAAAGGGGTACTCGACAAACCGCGGGAAATCGTTGATTCGCCTTCATGGAGATGGCTTCGGAGAGGTCGAGCTACTGGATATCTGTTTGGGGGCACTGTACCTTGTGTCGTGCGTCTTCAGGGGACCCAATACGCCCCCTCTTCGTGGAAAGACAAGATTCTCTTTCTTCAGTCTGCGATGGGCGACAACTTGCAACTGCCGTATTCTGTATCCCAGTTCCGAAACAATCTTGTCGATCTCGCTCTGTCTGGCATATTGCATGAAATTCGAGGACTGGTTGTTGGACGAGGATATAAATACAATACTGATATGCAAAAAGAGCTGGCAAATGTGATACTGGAAGTCTTTGAGGTGATTGTTGGTCGAAGTCGTGAGGAGTTTCCGATTTTGATGAACGTCGACTTTGGCCATACGAGTCCATTCTTGACTTTGCCTATCAACGCATTAGTCAAATTAGATAGCGATCTCGATGAGTTTAGCGTTCTGGAACCTGGGGTGCAGGCTTGACGGGGTAGTGGGACTCTATTCGCTGAGAGAGGTGCGCCGAAACTCTGCCTACGTCTGTAGGGGTCCTCTGTACTGCTGCCTGGAGGCCTGTCACTTTGCTTTAATACAGGTTTACTACTCTTTCGCTTTCCCAAGGTGAGGTCGCCCTCACACGGCATGGCTAAGTAGCAAGATAGACAAGGCTTTCTGAAACTGTGTGAAATTATAGTACACTCCAAATCTCCCGATATAACGAGGGTCAGCAGCACATGTTCAAAAGCGCTACCATGAAACAAAGCACTCCACTGCCACCCTGATCCAAATGAAAGGCGATTAGTCTAAAGCCATCGTATTGAATGAATGAGTGATGGACCCGTGGTATTTCTTTTTTTAACGCCTGGGGCTCTCCAGGAGGGATTGCATTGTGTTCACGCTTATATTACTGCTCCGTACATAAGGGTAGCTAGTGCCTTTAAGGCTAGATTAACAGAATAATCGTTGGCCTAGAACGCAAGAGATAAAGCCATCTCAGCCTATGGAGTGACCGGCAAGCACGTCATTATGGCCACAGCCATCTACGCCGCCGGAGATCCGCCGCCGAAAACCCATTTCGTGGATAAGCAGGCTTTACGATCAGTCGGACACCATCCCCTCGCTGCCTTCTGGGCGAAGTTTCTGAATATCGCTCAATTGTGTCACCTCATACAGACTCCTCATCGGAGCCGTGACCAGCGATGAGGTTCCATTCTCTTTCCTGTCTAGGGCGCATTGTGAAGGTTGTTGGAAATAAGTATACTGCTTGTGCGGATGATTTGTGTACGCTCGGTAAAATAACTTAAACCTCCACGGGCGGCATCCTTGGACCATGGAATATGGGCTCTCCAATCCCATTGATTTTAAGCAGCTTGAGAATATCATTAAGTTTACGCGCAGAAGCGTCAATACACAAAAATTTGACAAAAACTTACATATATGATAAGTATACCATCCGTGCTCACTCAAGGTGCATGTATTCATTAATCATTTCTGAGAAATGGACCTAATCAACATAGCGGAGATCACTTCAACTCCAACACCGCCCAAAAGGCATTCATGGTCTCCCACCGGGTGGAACCCTCTACACCCAGTTCCTGAACAGATTTCTCGAGTTCCTGAATAGCAGAATTCATAGCTGCATCATTTGATAAGCCTTCCTCCTGGATCCATTGACGAAACAGCTCTGAGGAAACGAACTCCACTTCCCAATGGCCATCCCACAGCTGTGAGTCAGGTTGTATGTAGCCGGAGCGTTTTTCTCGCCAGCCAGTTTCGTGCGCAAAGTCCAGCAGCTCCTCTGGAGTGAGTGCGGAGCGTACGTTGGGCTCCCTCGCCCCTGTCGCGGCGGACTTGCGTAGGGAATGATACTGGGCTTGCGCTCGCGCAGCCAGAATATGTGGGACTTGTGCGGGTCGCGAGGCGCGAAATCCGTACTCCGCCAGGCACAGATAGCGTACTTTCGCATCGGCTAGAAGTTGGAAGACCTGGGCAATGCTCGCACGGTCGGGAAAATACCACAAAGAGTGGCACAGTACGGCCGCATCAAATTTATCGGTGCTCGTGGGTTGGGAAAGCAGACCGGCCGTGTCGGTGCGGAGAAATTGGATACGCTGCCCTAGCGTGGATGCCTGGATGTGCTTCTGCGATTGTTCGACGGTGTATGGTCCACCATAATCAGGCGGGGCCGTGTCGATGGCTGTAATTTGACCATGAGAACCGTTGATCAATGCGAGAACTAGGCTCGATTCGCCTTGGCCACATCCGATGTCGAGCACTCTAGAGCCTTGGGCGATGTCCCAGGCTTGAGTTAGAGCAAGCCTGTGCTGGAAATTTGGCTCAACGATGGAAGTGCGTGCTTTCTCATCATGCAGATAGCTTGACAAGAGAACATCCATGACTCAATATGGGATCAGCTTGATATCTTTCCTTGCGTTTTTTTATCCGTAAAAGCAGTTGGTATTATAACTATCGTGGTTGTGGGAAGATAGACCAGGTGAGAAAAGACATCACTGTTCGCCTCAAACGGCCTACTTATGTCTGATCTTTCGTTATCATATGTCGCAATCACTATTCAAGGTCGGTCAGCGACTTCTTGATTATGATTTGCACTAACGCTTCCTAGGGGATGAGGCCTGTGCTCAAACGGCGTTGTGTATCCGTGGTGGTCGAATCCGAGCGGCACTGCTTGTGTCCGATTAAGATACGGGCAATACACTTCCATGATATATTAGACCTAGTTAATCCACAGATAAGAGCCGCCTGTTCAACTGGACCCAAAGGGTAGTTGCTCTCATGAATGAATATTAAGCCTTCAGGGATTACGTACAGTATCCCCTTCAAGCGCCCCTAAGGCTCATACCCCCATCGGAAGGTCGAGAACATCAATAGTCCTACTACCAGAGGCCCCGCTTGTATCTATGATGATAAGACTGCTATACAAAACACAAAGTTTTGTTGGGGACTGTATAAACTGGAAAGACATAAGAATAAGATTCTAAATGGGAAAATGGACACAGCACACTTGGAATTTTGTGAGTGAAAACCCTGGAGCCTAGAAGGACACGGAATGGATTGTAAAGTACTGGTGACTGGGAAACCAGCTTCCAGTCATCGGCTTTCTTACAGCACATTACGCCTTAGAACCCACACTGTATTGATCATAAACACCGTACATCGATCGACCGATTTCCCGTCGGTCTTCCGTTGCCAAGAAAAAGGCCCGGCCCGAGAGTCTCGATGCTGTGGTGCCAGACGAACACAGATAAGAGAAACGAGTGCGTGGGAGATCCGATAAGCTGATATGGTAAAGGTTGAAACAGTATATGGCAGATAGTACTAATCTGAGTTGCTTGACGCTGTTCGGGCAGTCTACCGGCGAAACGTATCTGACCAAGTATCCATGTGCTGTTGCCGACTCCGGCTAGATTTAAAGCTAGTGCTACGCCAGGCTGGTCGGTAGAGTGTTGGACAAAGAAAAAGTAACTCCAAGGTGACTGATTATTATAGCTTAGGTGGTAGTTAGTGCTGGCCGCTAGGACGCCGACCCAGAAAGGGCAGGTCCTCGTTAGCGGAAGAACTGGTATCAAAGGTGCTGATTTGTATATACTCCAAACAGGTAAGGTAGCCTAGGTTATGGTACCGATGGATAACTGCACCTGACCGTATCTGTCTCCGCTTCATCCACGCGGCCATGCGCGAGATTCTGGCTCGATTGATGACTGGCACAGTCACATCTTATGGTGTGCTTTGTGCTACGTTTCAACCAAAGGATTTGATTTTGATAACCCTCCTCATCTTCACATGTATATACTGCTATCGAATTGTTCTCAAATTATAAGTCCGCACCGGGACGGCTGTGTTCGAACGAAATCTACCGATAATGCGACTTCTTCCGCCGCCAAATCCCACGAGAACCTAAAAATCTAAGAATCTGAGGCCTATCCAAAGCCCGACTACTATTTATCACGGTCGCAAAGCCTTTCTCGATGACCTTCTGACCAGAAACCAATCGATTCAATGATTCTCAGGTTTTGGGACTTAGCCGACTCGATCAGTGCATAGAGATCAAAACTGGGACGCTGTCGGCGGGGCCAGGTCTGAGGCCCAGGCATGGGTCTTGAGCCTCTCCAGTTGGGTGATGTTATGGATGCGAACGAAGTCAGCCAGCACCGCGTCTGATTGCTGGTAGGTGGGTCCATCAGAATATCATCAACCCGACTAAACGTCGTCAGTTGTGTCCACGCGGAGATTTCATTAAACTCCTGCAGGAGAAACTGTTCGACCCGATTGTGCGGGTGTTCAAGACCCGAGCGACCGGCCCCAGCCAAGATAACCTCACGGGCTGCCGCCAGATGGATACGCCGCTTGGCCGTTTGGGCTTTCAATAAATCGCTGTTGCAGATTAGCCTGACAGAGCCCAATTCAACGAGAACGGCGTGGTTGGAATGGTCCGTGGGGGGCCGCAGATCTCCAAGACTCAATTTGGCAGACTAATGCCATACATCCCACCAGGGAAGAAGCCCGGGGGCTTCTTTATACTTCCGATATAATCTTTGCTTGCCGATGTTACCGATAATATGATCATCTCCCACGAGCAAACCTTCAGTCCTGTGGTTATCCTCACAGCGTTCGAGACAGAAGAGCAGGCCATTGAAAAAGCTAATAATTCAATTCATGTTTTACGGTGCTCGATATTTTTGCAAAATACCGAACGAGCCCATGGACTGGCCCGGAAATTAAGAAGCGGGACGGTATAGATCAATAGCAGCCATGACAGTGACTTGCGCTCTCCGTTCGAGGGGATTAAGCAGAGTGAAATTGGGCGCGAAACTGTAGGGAGCTTCTTAGTATCATGAATGCGAGGTGTCACATTATCTTCCGATGAATTGGTTCTGGATCTTGCGACCGTCGAGTCACGTGACATGCTCACCATGTGGTTTGATTATTGGTATTATCTATCACAATTCTATCTTAGAAATCGGATTTTGATATTCAATAAGCCTTATAAGCCTTCTAGAATATTTGGCTTGCTGCAACCTACTATGGGTCACTACGACTAGTAGTATAGTTGCCTCAATTAGTTAGGTACTTCATCAGGACTCTTTCCATGAGCCGGCGGTCAAATATATATATTCTCCTGCTTCTTAAAACCATTCAATCGGAGAGCACAACTACTAGTAGATCATAACTACGTATGCTATTTTAATCAAAATGGTCCTTCAGTTGATTTCAGCCAACAGTAGGCAAAATGTGGGCATCGCATATATGGATAACTGGTGTATTGCGTGATTATGTTTTATTTTCACTTTAATTGTATTATTATTCTGATCCTGCTCTCGTTTTCTGTTTTACCTTCGCAAGCTGCCCAAACCAGTGCATGCAAACTGAACAAACAGCACACCGAATGCCCCAGAAAGAAGAACGGCATCCCCGTTTCCGGACCATCCGGGGCAACTCCGCGGCCAAGGGGGAGAAACCTACTGCAATGAGCTGATCTTGCAGCTTGAACCATCGAGCCAAGCCGAAGACGGTGCAATAACAATCCCCAGATTGTCCCCTCTTCTCCGCCCAGGTAGTCTTGACGAGCATGGCAGGATGATCCCAGCCACCTTGGGGAATGAGGCGTGGGGGTGCCAAGCCGGCGCTGGGGAGAGATGGCCAGCAACAACCTGGGATACCCTCCGATATTTCCCCGGATGCAGTCAACCCCGTCCGGGTTTAAAAGGACGGTGAGAGGAAGGAATGCTTCACTCACCCACCACAAATCATCACCATGATCGGGTCGTCCCATGCTGTGGTGGCCCTGGGCCTCTTTACATTATACGGTCGTTCTGCAGCGGCTCCCGCAGTTGGGGCTTCAAATTCACAGGGTATGTCATGCGGGTCGTGAGGGATGCGACAACGCCGCGTCTTCAATCAGAGTGCAAGCTGATTTTAAAGCGATCGTTGCGAATGGCACTGATTTTGCGTTGAACGGCGACAATGTCTCATATCGGTTCCATGTTAACAGCACCACCGGAGACTTGATCTCTGATCACTTCGGTGGTGTCGTCACCGGCACAATCCCATCGCCAGTGGAACCCGCTGTCAATGGCTGGGTTGGCATGCCTGGTCGAATCCGTCGGGAGTTCCCTGACCAAGGCCGTGGTGATTTTCGCATTCCCGCCGTTCGTATCCGGGAATCGGCAGGTTATACTATTAGCGATCTTCAATATGTGTCGCACGAGGTGATTGCGGGTAAGAATGCTTTGCCTGGCCTGCCTGCCACATTTGGAGATGCACAAGACGCTACGACTTTGGTAGTCCATCTCTATGACAACTATAGCTCCGTCGCCGCCGACTTGTCATACTCCATATTTCCAAAATATGATGCCATCGTGAGAAGTGTCAATGTGACTAACCAGGGCCCGGGTAATATCACCATCGAGGCCCTTGCAAGTATAAGCATCGATTTCCCTTACAAAGACCTTGACTTGGTCAGCCTTCGTGGTGACTGGGCCAGAGAGGCCAATGTTCAGAGAAGCAAAGTGCAGTATGGCATCCAGGGGTAAGTCGCCTATCATAGAACCGACACTGTGACGTTGCTGACGGGGGATTAGGTTCGGAAGCAGTACTGGATACTCCTCTCACCTTCACAATCCCTTTTTTGCCATAGTAGATCCAGCTACTACCGAATCGCAAGGCGAGGCATGGGGCTTTAACCTTATCTATACAGGCTCTTTCTCGGCCCAAATAGAAAAAGGATCGCAAGGTTTCACCCGGGCACTGTTGGGCTTCAACCCAGATCAATTTTCATGGAACCTTGGTCCTGGCGAGACCCTGACCTCCCCGGAGTGTGTTGCAGTATACTCGGACCAAGGACTCGGCTCAGTGTCTCGCAAATTCCACCGACTATATCGAAACCACCTCATGAAGAGCAAGTTCGCCACGTCCGACCGTCCCGTTCTCCTGAATAGCTGGGAAGGAGTTTATTTTGACTATAACCAAAGCAGCATTGAGACTCTGGCCGAAGAGTCCGCTGCCCTGGGTGTCCACCTCTTTGTCATGGACGACGGCTGGTTTGGTGACAAGTACCCTCGCGTGTCCGATGATGCCGGGCTGGGAGACTGGATGCCCAACCCAGCGCGCTTCCCAGACGGGTTGACCCCAGTCGTGCAAGACATTACGAATATGACCGTCAATGGAACAGACTCCACAAAACTTCGTTTTGGTATTTGGGTGGAGCCCGAGATGGTCAACCCCAATTCCACTCTCTACCACGAACATCCGGACTGGGCGCTTCATGCTGGGCCCTACCCCCGTACCGAGCGTCGGAACCAGCTCGTTCTGAACCTGGCGCTTCCGGCTGTGCAGGATTTCATCATAGACTTCATGACAAACCTCTTGCAAACTCCAGGCATCTCTTATGTTAAATGGGACAACAACCGGGGAATACACGAGACTCCGTCCCCGTCCACTGACCACCAGTACATGCTAGGGCTCTACCGGGTGTTCGACACACTGACCACCCGCTTCCCGGATGTACTGTGGGAAGGATGTGCCTCAGGCGGCGGCCGCTTTGATGCCGGTGTGCTGCAGTATTTCCCCCAGATTTGGGCTTCTGACAACACCGACGCGATCGACCGAATCACCATTCAATTCGGTACCTCACTTGCCTACCCGCCATCGGCAATGGGAGCCCACCTTTCCGCGGTTCCTAATGCACAAACTGGCCGCACTGTGCCTATTACTTTCCGCGCTCACGTTGCTATGATGGGTGGCTCTTTCGGCTTGGAGCTCGACCCAGCCACGGTGGAAGGTGACGCCATAGTCCCCGAGCTTCTTGCGCTGGCGGAGAAAGTGAACCCCATCGTCTTGAACGGAGATCTGTACCGGTTACGCCTGCCTCAAGACTCCCAGTGGCCTGCCGCACTTTTCGTGTCCGAGGATGGCGCCCAAGCTGTTCTGTTTTACTTCCAGGTCCAGCCAAATGTCAACCATGCCGTGCCGTGGGTTAGGCTCCAGGGGTTGGACCCTGAGGCGCAGTATACTGTTGATGGTGACCAGACTTACTCCGGTGCAACGCTGATGAATATGGGGTTGCAGTATAGCTTTGATACGGAGTATGGTAGCAAGGTGATTTTCCTGGAGAGACAATGATCGGAGATTTCATCCCCGTATATATACTCTCTGTGTCTAGCCAATTTGGACAAAAGCAATTAGAATCATTTTTCTTTGGTTATATTGGTTAAATTCAGAAATGAGAACATGGGACCTTTACACCGTCAAGGCAGTGAGTCTAGGTGTGTACAGGCATGTGGTCAAGACTGTTTGTCTTTCGCTGTTGTCTTAAGGCCAACAAAGTTACCTTGGCTGATATCGTAGCGCCTGCCCTGGAGAAACCGCTCACTGTCAAATAAAGAGAAACTGAACTAATTCGAAGCAAACAGTATCGTGACGACGCGACCTTGCGATGATGATAGCTATAACTTGACAAGGGTCAGTGATTCGCGTAGCGTACTGAGGGTGCAAGACCTGGAATGCTCAAACGGAGCGAGCTACCTCGTGGAACGCAGTGATACAGTCAGCTAATCAGTCTACAAAGGATGATCGGTACACCGGAAAACTCGCCAGATGCCTTCTAATTGGCATTGGAATACGATATCTACTACGTTTTGAAAATATTGGACTTGGGCGCAGGAAAAGTACCATCAACATTTTTGTGTCATAAAAGATATTTCTCAAATCTTGTAAGCGAATGTATTTATTCACTCTCATACTGTAAACCCCACATGAAATTCTGCAAATGATGACAGATATGGGGAAAGAGCAAATTCCTCTCTGGCGGCACAGAGAAGTTCAACAAACGTTTACAGCCCTGGTCTCAATGTATCCAGTTGTCACTGCGCTTGATCCTGATGAAGGCCTCTTCCATTGCTTCATGTGAAACGGGAAGCCTATATCCATATTCAGCCAGCTTCCCTTGAAGCTTGCTGGTATCAAGGGTCGTGTTGCACCGCGGAGCCATCAGAACATTTCTTTGCTCGTCTTCGGTGAAGTTCTCCCACTGTAGCCCTGGCCATATGTGCTTCTTAAGCAAATTCATGACCTCATTGTGGGTGAATGGCTCAGGATTGGTCTAATGCCTTACATGAGCTCAAACCTGAACTTAGGCATAGTAAGCAGACTCACAAAGTTGTATATTCCAGTTTCGTTATGCTTTGCAAGCAAGATCATGGTAGGAATAAGGCTGGGTATAATGCTCCCGGACTAGGTGATCGTCAGCATCAGTCGATGTGAGGGTGGTTTACACTTACATTCGGGACGTTGATCAACTTCTTGTACGAAGCAAGTTTGGTGATCATGTTTTTGGGGTGCAAGTCTGCGCCAATAGGGTTGCGAATACGGAGAATCAACACGTTGGAATAGTGCTTCAAAATCTACCAAATGTTGGGTCAACTGTATCGGTTTTTCAAAATGGCACGATGCTGCACGCGTACCTTTTCTGATAAGACCTTTGTGGAAGAATAGAAGGTTTTGGTGAAATTTGGCTCATCCTCCTCAGTATATCCCGTACCATCCCAGGGATGATCCTCATTGTAGTCGTAGATGCATCCAGACCCCAAATGGGTGAGATGCACGCCATTAATGAAGCAGCAGTCAGCCAGATTTACCGAGCCAAGTATGTTTGAGCGGATAGTTTCCTCCCTGTGTGATTCGCACCAATCCACGTTGGGATCACCACGTTTCCCAGCGGTATTGATAACATGGGAAGGTTTCACCCTTGCGAGCTCACTGCTTACCATTAATGAGAAAATGAGAAGTATATGCGATGTGATCAGAAAGGCAGACCTTAGAACCTGTTCTCGGTTTTCTATCCGTGCTTCAGAGATGACAAGGTCATCACCCTCTTCTCTCAGGTAATCCTGAATTTGGCCGGATATCCAACCGTTGCCTAAGACGTCAGTCTGGATGTACGCCGAGGGCTATATGATGTGGCTATACCGAACACAAGATACCTAGTGGGTCCTTCACCTGCCATATTAGCACTTGCGTTGGGAAATTGGTATGAAAAGCAGAGTATACTTTGGCTTATATAGCAGGATGAACAGATTTCCCTGACTCGACGGAGATTTTTTTCGGATATTTTAAATAAATGGTAGAAAGACATGGTGCTTATATATCATTGAGGTTCCTCTTCGAATTCACAGACCATCTTCGATGGCCGAGATTTCACATGAATGAAATTTGCTGTGTCGCCACGCCGTAGAGGTTCTGTCCTGCGTATCCTAACCTGCCATATACTTTACTAGATCTAGATTTCAGCAACCCAAACTGGGCTGATATACGTCACCGCAATTGGTGTTTCGCTCTTCTGGCAGGCATTGGCACGTGCCTTTTGGCACACCATAGAAAGCACAGTATGGATGCTTACAAAGCTGGTACATTGAGTTCACCTTCGCACTGTTTAAGGCAATAGAGTATATAATGATGTCAAAGTCCAATATTGGGATGATATATGACGTCTTGCGAGTGCCTCTCTCCTTCTAGATAGAGTAGGCCATATCTCTATTAAACCGGATTCCTGGATTGAGTTCAAAATTGCTTGCAGTAACTTGTTTATTGGGTGTTGCAAAAACCCCTTTTTCTTCGATGGGTAAACTCGCCGGAACAGTGAGCCCGTCTTGATATATATATTTCCTGCGTGACCCTTGCATATGTCAGTACACTACCAATGAAGGCAGCCGTCCCATAACGATCGAATCACACGTTCCAGTTCATAAAGTTTTACTTCATCATGACTATCACTACCATCGTGCCTGGGAATAAAGGTCCTACAGACTGGCCGGGTAGTGCGGTGAAGAATATCTTGGTTACTGGAGGAGCCGGTTTCATTGGTTCATGGATGTGCCATCACCTGGTCCATCAATATGATGAACAATACAGTGTTGTTTGTCTTGATAAATTGAGTAACGTCTCTACCTTGAAGAATCTGAAGTCGGTATTGAACAGACCAAACTTTCACTTTGTCCAAGGCAATCTCCATGACAAGGAACATCTGATTAAAGTTATGGGCGAGTATAACATTGACAGTGTCATACACTTTGCAGCAGAATCTAGTGTTCAGAAGTCATTCTGCGATCCTGGAGCCTTTGTGGACATGAATGTGTGTGCGACGTTTCGGTTGCTGGAAGCAATGAACGGTTATGGTAAAATTATAAGGTATTCACTTCGGCAGCTATACTTGATTCTAGTTGATATTCCATAGATTCGTACATGCCTCGACTGATGAGGTGTACGGGGAAACATGGGGGTTCAGTGTGGACGAAGACACGCGTATGAACCCTACCAATCCTTATGCAGCTAGCAAAGCCGCAGCCGAAATGTTCGTCATGGCATATTGGAAGAGCTTTGGTATCCCCAGCATGATTCTACGGTGTAATAACATTTACGGACCCTGTCAATACCCTGAGAGTAGGGCTAGTTGCCCCATTTCTCTTCATTCATGACTGACCTTTTCTTACAGAGCTCATCCCCAAGTTTGCTTTGCTTGCCAGGAGCGGCCAGAAGTTGACGATTCAAGGCAACGGCAGCCGCACTAGGAATTTCGTTCATGTTGCTGATGTGATTGCTGCATATGATTTGGCTCTTCACAAGGGTGTTCCTGGTGGTGTTTACAACGTTAGTTCGTCAGATGAGGTATCAGTACGTGATGTCGCAACTGCAGTTTTGAGAGAATTCGGACATGATATAGAGAAGAACTTCGACGAATTCATTGACTCGATACCAGATAGGCCATACAACGACAATGATTATGTTGTCAAGGGTGACAGGCTCAAAGAGCTTGGATGGTCTCAAAGCGTCGGCTTCAAGGAAGGACTAGCCGACACGGTCCAGTGGTATCGGAAGAATGGGGACAATTGGTGGAAGGAGGCACTCGGCAATCAAATCGGGGTGTGACATTGGCCTCTGAGGAGCGGTGACAATGAAGCTATACCGTTATTTCAGATATTATGTATCAGGCCGAGTAGTTCCATGCAAGTTGGACATGAATGAATGAGCGCGGTAGCTAGGGTTCCCAACCACAGTGATGTAGTCGCTTTTGCGTAAAGTAGAGTTGGAACACTCATCATAATGTGCTCGATCATTTCTGACGAACTCGTCTGTGTCTATAAACTTATTAAGAACTACAGACTATTCCTCCCTCTGTTCCCCAGCGGACTCATCTCTCGACGGTAGCCGCTTTAACATTGTAGCCGGGCATTAGGGTCGTGATGCTGTTATGGATCACCCGCCTCATCCATCAATCACCTCTAACAGCGTTGTGATGTACAGTACGGAGTACTTGAGATAGACACGGCCCATCACGCGTATGACTGGGAAAGTGTACAGTCAACATGTCTAATACTATAACCAAATAATCATACCATAAATTTAGTTACGACCCATGGAACTGGAGCCATTAGTTCCATGTCCTATAATGAAGGGAGGGCGTAAACGCAAGTTACTGATCGGCCGAGACCAACATAGAGACCATTTTTCGCCATCGACGCAGCTGATAGCTAGTATGTCCGATCCTCTATTTTAAGATTCACAAAAGGCGAATGTGCGTTTCACTGGCCAGTGGACAATGCATCGCGGGGATACGTCCCCTCCTTGGAGTTCGATCACTTTCATTGGGTCTCACCAACGCGCATCGGATCAGACGCTTCACTGAGACTGGAAGCCCGCCATTGAGCTTTAGCACGTACAATCTTGCATCAGCTCCAGTATAATAGCCATTACATTCCCGCGTGGTCTATACCAATTGGCGACAGATGGGCCTCTTTAGAGTAAAGAATACCTACTGTAAGATGATTCCGACTCCTCCGAGATATGAAGGTGTTGGTAGAGAAATACGATGCTCAGTAGGGCACTGGTAATGGGCTCAACAAAATGGGTTTTACTCGGGATTTGGCCTTGAAGGAATGTGTACTAGAGTCGTTGATGAGAAAAAGAGGTGTGTGGAGAATAGCAGGCCGCATAATTAGGTTGACCGTGTGAGAAAGACATGCAACGCTATGCTTGAAACTATTGGAAATTAATGACAAAGCGTGACCTTCATTTCTCTCAGCTCTACGTGCGGCTTTAAGTATTCGGGTTAACCCGATCGCTGGTTTTCAGCTGATCGGCGTGGGGCGATCTCAGCCGCACTTGAAATCATTGACCGAACCTTGATTCAGCTCCCACTACTGCAGTGCCTTGACACCCCCTCCCTGTTATTTAACACTTTTCTCCCATCCCAAATAGTGCGGAGCCAGCGGAGTAAGCTCGGGCCGGAAGTCAATCGCAGGATTCTCTATGTAACCATTCTTTTGATTCCCGGATCTGCAGGGCTGCCTGCTTCCATGACCACGGGTGTTTACCCTGAATCGGTTGGCAAATCCGTCTCAGCCCCACCTCTTAACTGAATAATGTTCGAATACTTTGTAGACTGGACTGTATCGGGTATTCTTCAATCCGGAGTGCTACTGATACCATTTCATGATCGACACTATCCTGTCTGTAGCTTGATTCCGTTGTCCTTATGCTGCATTCAACCCTTACTTCGTTATTTGTCTACACTTGATCGTGCCTGATTGCCTTGATTTACGAATGAGTCGGGGTCATCTTAGCATGTGTCTTCATCATTTCAGCTTTGCTGGAACAGTTGCGCAAGATCGAATGGAACAGATCAGTGCAAATAGCAACAGATATCACTGTGTTATTTCCTACACTATGCCTGTGTGCACCAGATAAGTTTCGTAAGAAACAGTATCAATAGTGTGATTTCGCATAAGTGAAGTGGCAAGAGGTTGCCACCTGACTCTCTAGGAGCTGTTCGAACTATCGATTCGACGTTGCTTTTCCCACAATGTTGGGTATTCCAAATCTTAAATCGTTTGATTCCTTCCCTTGATCCAAATGAGATGAGATATAAAACCAGGCACCATGTCTCCATAAGCCTGTAAAATTCAGCACAGCACAGCATTCATCCTAAACGGATCTCGACATTGATCTACTCAACTTGATCCAGAAACCCTAACAAATCCAATCCATCATTCACTATGAAGCTTACCTCTACCGTTGCTGCCAGCTTGCTCGTCTTCGCCAATGCCGTAAGCGCTGGCCAATGTGTAGCTGGCTTGAATTACTGCGGAAGTACTTTGGTCGATGCTGGTGAGACGCCCAGAAACAGTCCCTTGATCAGCCAAGTAAGCTGATGTATGGCAGGATACCATGACATTATTCAACAAACTCTCCGAAGCTCTGGTGAAGTTGTTCTGTCAAATTCGCCCGGCGTCTGGTGGGGCACTTACTGGAAGTGCAATCCTGGTGGCTCAATTACCTATCTCGGAGGTTGTGTCGGTGGTTGTTTCGATGCCGGAGCTGGCAACAGTGACATCTGCAGCCATGACGCGTCTAATTGGCTATAAATTGTATCTAGTGAAGGGCACTGCTTTGCAGGAACCTAGTGACATTGAAACATGCCGTCGTACGGCCTAGACAGCTCTCAAGTGGTTCTTTGTGCACCAGCTGGTCGATGTCCTGTTATAAATCAACCTTTCATGACTTAGCTTCAATTAGGTTCATTCCAATCTTCACTACCTTAGCTCTTACAGGTGCTACGAGCGCCGCCACATGCACCCCGGGCCTGAATTATTGTACCGATAATCTCACATGACTTGGTAATATCACATTCCATATGCCCTCCCGGGTGGTTTAGAAATACTCATGCTCGTTACTTCGTAGACCGCAACAACGAGGATGCTATGCGCCAGGCCCT